ATGCGCCTGTGATGCGCTGATGTTATCTCCTCGTTCAATTAGCCAGTTGGCAATTTACAGTTTAAAGCCAGGCTTAAGACAGCAGCATGCAAGGAAAGATTTTGGGTCTGTTTTTGTGCGTTTTTTCAGCTATTTACAAGTTGAAAAGATTGAAAATCGGTTTATTTTCGTTTAGTATGTGGAAAATCTAGTCGCTAAAAGATGAGACGCCCAAAAAATGCAAGAAACCTATTTTGAGCTGATTTCGGAAAGCTTCAAATAAAGCTTCTCGCGTCTTTCGTGTTTTAATCTTGTATGGAAAAACCCAAAATAATATACGGAAAGATGCTTATCTGCCAAACGACCTTTGGGTTGTCTAAATCTTATCTCAAAAGCTCAATGTGTCTTATAATTGTCAGAATTACAAGAAGATATTCTTAAAAAAAACTTACCAAACGGGCCCTTTGTTTGTCAAATTCCCTATTCGTTGAATTAGGAAAACATGGTAGTTTCCTGATCAACACCTTGTTGTTTGGACCAGCCCAATTTGGTTCATTGTGTATGATTTCGCTCTCCTTAAGGTGCCCACGAGCACAAATAAATTCTGATATTTCTTATTTCTTGTAGGGGGACCATTCAAAATCCGGGGGGGAAATACTGTTCTTCTCCACGGTGATTTCTGAAATTTATTTGATAATCCCATTGATCTCAAATGATGAATACCCCCACGAGTAAGAAAATATCAAAACAACTTTCTGGTGTGTCTGGGAATCTGTTGAATTCAATATATGTGGATGCCACTATTGTTTTCCCTTACTGACCTTCATAGCATGTATAACTGGCGTGAAAAATACAATTTGTCTTATACTAGAAAGAATCCTATTGATTTTTACAGATTCTCTCATGGGACCCAAATATCTTGAATTCGAGCCTCCCAACATAATCGCGTCCTCACAAAATTGATTCTCACACCGTTTCACACTCTTTAGCCTGTATCAAAAAAATCTCCCCAAAAAATGAAATATGCAAGTATGGAGATATTTTCAATAGACGGTTACAAGTGTTGTAAAAAAAAATGATGTGAGTACGAAATCTCTCCAACATGTTCACGTTAGCAAACATCCCTTTGATTTTATCGTGGAAGGGAGCTTGACCATAAAAAGGAAAAAATTCGATTCCGAAGACATTGCAGCATTTTAGTATTTTATGCAGCTTTTTCTTTTTCTTCTTTTATTTTATTTATTTATTTAGCCTAACGCATTACGCATACTACAGCAAATCACTCTTTTATGACCTAATTGCACCATAAGTCATTTAACAGCCAAAAGTCAAAAAGCCCAAAAACCAAGCGACAGGATTCTCCATTTTTCCGTTTGAAAAGGCTTAGCTTAAGTAGCTGCTTTTGAAGAAGTTGCTGAAAGAGGCTTAATGGAAGAACGGAAGAAGGTAGGGATTATTCAATCGGATGTCTAACTCTAACGGAGAAAATCGAACCGAAAACCAAATATGCTAAAATCGAAAATCAAAATAATCGAATTAACATTTTTTGCAGGGTTTGGTATATCGTGTTAGTGATTTCAGGTGGGAGCAAGGTTTTTTTTTTAACTGAATTGGACAGAGAACTGTTTTGGAGACCTGTTCCCGGGTTGAACGGTCCAATCATATGGTTCAAACGAATGGCCCATTTTAACTTAAAAAAAAAAAAGACTAAAACTGTTGTCCAGGTCAATGACTCGATCGCTCAGATCAGCATATCATTGACCAAATCAACGATTTATAACCAAAATACAGTTTTAAGATGAAACAGAATCAAATACCTGACTGGTTCCCGTTTTTTCCGATCCAGTTCGATTTTAAAAATCATGGGTGAGAGTCTTCTTCAATTAGTTCTCGTGCGGTCGTGCCAAGTCAACCTTGGTAGCTGAAGCCCAGGCATATCGCATATCGCATCTCTCGTTCGAGTCGGATTGCAAGCCTTTGATTGGCATATCGCATCCCTCATTCGAATAGGATTGCAAGCCTTTGATTGGCATATCGCTTATCTCATTCGAGTAGGATTGCATGCCTTTGATTGGCTACCTCAAGGGTATTGAGTATTGACTGTTCCATATCCTGGGAAATCTGTTTTTTGTATGCAGACATTAATGCTATATTTGGTTTGAAGGAAAAAATAAACAAAAAAGGGAAAAATTAAAGAAACCTTTTTCAAAATTTGTATAAATTTTCCTATCTTTCTCTATCTTTTCCTTCAATCCAACCATAGCCTAAAAGTGAAGTCTAAACTCTTAGCGTTCTATCGTGGTCGTTTATTGATAAAACTCTAAACTCTCAAGCCCATCAGTTGGCTAGCTGCTCGTGGCCCATTAGAACGTCATGGATAAGGGATTTCCCTTCCTGTGTTTTGTGTTTTGGGTCTGTTTTCGTCCTTCCCTTGGGCCTTTTAATGATATTCTCTGGGCTGCAAAAAAAGTTTTAAAACAATACTGCTCTCACAGTCTCACCCCTAGAGGAACGTAACGGCTGTTGAAAACAACCATCCAAATTCCGACTTTTGAACATGAGAATTGAAGTGACCCACCCCATGTCCCATACTCCCATGATCATGATCCATGATCCGTTTCCCCGAGTCACAGTGGTATGAATTGTAATTTAAGGTTGAGAGTGGTCCTATTGTTATTTTACATTCCCGTAAGAATAGAAAGATTAAAGATACATATATTTTTAGGGGAACTTGTAAAAGTTCTTCTCCGCCTGAAGGCCCTGCATTCCTCTTTTTCAGTCTTCCCCCGTCAATCAATCAATCAACGAACGAATTTGACACAGTGAGAAAAGAAGCCCTCAAGGAACATGACGACGAAACGTATCCCTCCGGTCTCACCTTCCCGGCTACACTGTACGGCCCAGGCCCAATAACCACTGTGGCCGTAACACGTTAGTAAATGGATTTCGTGTTCTCCTTCCCCCTACCACTGCAACCCTACTCCCTCCCCTTCCCTTCCCTCGCCACAACTCATTCAATATGATTCGGTGCACCCAAAGTTTTCAGAATAGCCCTTCGATCGATAACTATACTAGCATATGAGCATATCCCATTGTTTTAACCACCCTAGATTGAAGTTCACGTTAATATCGTAAGTTGAAAGATACAATGTATTTCCCCATTCCTCAGCGTAACAAAAGTATATATATATATATATATATATATTTATTTTGTTTAAAAATAAAAACAGTTAGAACTTATTACTTAGCATTTACGCGTAATTAAGAGTTAAAGTTGGCCTGAATGCACGTTATACCTAGGAGCAAATGGAAAACAAAAAAGCTGTGTATTGTGTAGTGTGTACAACAAACGACGCGATGAAAATTCATTTTGGGCTTCTTTTATTAGTAATTTTTTTTAATAAATATAAATAAAGTCCGACAAATAACATGATGACATGAGACCGAAACCATGTTCTTTCTTTCTTATCTTTCTAGTTTCAATGTGCCGTGATGGAAGATTTTTGGTTCAGAATCTCTACGGGAATCCGTTGGATTGGAATCTTTTTTCTTTATAGAGGGTGCTGATAGCCCTCTAGGCAGCAAGTGCATTTTAGAGCTTGAGCTGTTATGCACCGATTTGAAAAGACTACGCCACTATTGAGTTTTTTCTTTCTTTCTTTCTTTATTTCCCTCTTCCTTTTCACGTTTTAGACAAAACCATGGTGCGGATTCTTACTTCTACACAATAGTACGAGCATGCAAAATGATTCCAATCCATCGTTGCTTGTTCCGATCAATGGAGGGGAGTCTGCCCTGCCTACATCAACATCACTGCTATTGGAGCCTGGCGAGTGGCGAATCGGCCTGAATGGTTGAGTCTTGAATGAGTGATAATGCTGCAGGCCAGAGCCAGAGGCCAGAGCTCTGGCCTCATGTTCATACATGAAAGAAAGCTTGAGTAGAAGAAAGAAGAAACGTTTATCATGACCAAGTTGAGTTGGATGCGAGGAACATCAAGAATCGTGTCGGCCACCGGAAAAGTCTCAGGTATTGTCCAATCATCGCCCTCGTAGGGCCCCACGCCTGTGTGGTTCCTCAACGTTTTTTTTTTTTTTTTTTTACATTRARWCCTTGGGTTTTTTTTTAATAAATAAAATTGATTCCCCGAGGTTAAATGGCGGGACCCGCAATTCACATATTCCAAGCCGGCGGCTGTAAAATGCGATGTAAGATGACTCCGGTGCGGTTCACTTATTTATTTATTTCCATTTTCTTATTTCTATTACAGCATTGGATGTTAATATGTTATGTTTCTCTCTGTGCACGTGAAGTATATAATCTTGATTCTTGACCATCGAATGCGTTGAAGGATTTCTTTTCGGTCCATTGGACAGTTTATATTGTGGAAAAAAAGAAACGATTCGAGGCTCATGTTAGAAATGCAATTGGATCATATAGGAATCTAAAAATACATATCATAGATCCGGTTGGAATTCATAAATGATAATTGGAATTTGAATCTCTTAAGGATGTATTCGATCCATTCGAAATTTGAAATTTTTACTAAATTATTAAAAATATAATATTTTATATAAAAAATAACATAAATAAATATTTATTAGATCGGATCGAATCATTTTTTATTCTCTCCAAAATTTAGACAAAAATAGGATCCGAGCCAATACATTTGCACCCGTAACCTTGGTGGGCGGGGGAAGTAAAAACGGAGAGGGAACCGCGAACCGGGAGGGGAACCGAGTTTGAATCCTCTATGGTCCTGCTCGTAATACAGGGCTAATCACATGAGACCACGTCATCTCCGTACATGTGGGGCCATTCGATGATGACATGGCATATAATGATTAGCCTAGCTACATCCAGTTCCTCAGCGGAATCGCACACAAGTGAGAGAACCAAAAGCCGGGAGAAAAACTTGAGGGATGGAAGGGTAATTCCGTAATTGGAGAAAGATATCCGTGCGTTATGTTTCTATTTTATATATTTTGTCATAAGCGAAAATATTGGGGGACTTTTTTTTATTCTTCAGAAATCAGAACTCTTCAAAAGACAAATAAAGAACAACGAAAAAGAGGAGCGGAAAACTGGTTGGGGCCTGCCGGCCTGGGGAGTGGAGAGAGAGAGAGAGAGAGAGAGAAAAAGAGACTTAGCATCATCAGTTCTTCAGCTTCTCCTTGTTTGTACGCTAAAATCACACTCTCCAAGAACACTTGCAGTTCCTCTCTGCAACTCCATTTTCAGAAACGAGATCGAACATAGAACTGAGAAAAGGAAGAGATAAATATTCACGACATATAGCGACCTTTGAGAAAATCCATCCGTTCATAACCTATATAGAAAATTTGCCCTTCTCTCCAGAGAATTTGAAAGTTAATGGAGGAAATGTATGGACTGTATCCTTCTATCGAATACTCGGAGCAAGTTTCAATGTCGTCCGGCAATCTGGTTTCCCCCGTGGACTACCAGAGCTTACTTGCCGCGGGATCTTTTCGCGATCGGATTCCGATCTTCCCTCCGGATCAGTTGTTACCTGCAGCTTCGGTGATTTCGGAGGCTGCCTCTATTGCTCCTGAAATTCAAGGAAGACGGGAGGATGGTGGTGGCGGTGTTGGAAGTGTATTAGAAGATGAGCTATGTGAGATTAAAGCGAAAATCGCTTCTCATCCTCGTTATCCAAGACTTCTTGAAGCTTACATCGATTGCCAGAAGGTAAATAGTCTTTTCCCGGCAACGATAAAGCTTCTATATTGTGCAAGATCACCAGATAAAAGAGGAAGAATTAATGGAAATGAAATTTCTTAAAGGAATTTTAATGTTGTTGAATTTTGGTTCTTATTATCTTTTGTTCCACAGAAACAAGAAGACCGAATTTGCTTCCTGTCCACGTGGGTTGTAGTTTTTACGGTTGTTTTAGCCTAGAAGTTTCACGTAGACTCCAAGTTTAGTTTACAAGCCTTGTGTAGTGATATATACTGCGAGTCGATCGAATATCTTGGTCGATGAAAGTTTCGGTTCTATTTGTTGTCCGATCGTTCTTTTCTTCCATTTCCTTTTAGCAAATTAACGACGTCTAGGCAGTCGTTTGCCAAAAATCGGTATCGTCATTTTGTATGTAGTAGCTTTAAACTTTGTTCTTCGTTGTTTTTTTTTTCTTTTCCTTCTGTGCACTGGAATGAACGCGAGAGCGATAAGTGCTTCAACCTTCAGTGATCGTAGGAGAAAGACAAAGAAACGAAATTTCAGTTTGCCTGCTCTCCTCTTCTTTGACAAATGCCTTCTCGCACGGCACTATCAGTACAAGTCCAAACAAGGATGGCTTTCGTGGTTTCAGGCACTAAAAGATGTGGAAATCGTTGAAACTTTCTTGCTTATAACCAGTTGCTATTGTGTACTCTATAGTAATATATATTTTTCAACTCTTTTTACGAATCTATTATGTTTCACCGGAGATTGTTTATTTTCCGCGGTCTTTCTACTGATTAGTTTACTAACTTGGTTTCTCTTGAACAGTTAGTAGGGGTTTCAAGGTTTTCATTCTATCTGTTGCTGATTTCAGGTCGGTGCTCCTGAAGACATAGCACTTCTGTTGGATGAAATCCGGCGAGAATACTTCGTCTGTAAGAGAGACGCAGTATCATCGCGCTTAGGCGCTGATCCCGAGCTCGACCAATTCATGGTCTCCATCCCTCCCTCCCTCTCATTATATACACAGCTAGTTTGAGTTCTTATACTTAAAATTCCCTATTTTCTTCTTACTTTGTTTTATTAGGAAACCTACTGTGATATGTTGGTTAAGTATAAAACAGATCTCGCAAGGCCGTTTGATGAAGCAACTACGTTCTTGACCGAGATACAAATGCAGCTCAGCAATCTCTGCAAAGGTCCTTCCAGAAGCTCCGTTTCGGGTCTCTCTCCCTCTGTCTCTCTGATAATCCTTTTACTTTATTTAGATATCGATATCTGTGTAATATATGTTTCCTTTTCTCCCTTAATGTGCATTCAATATCTTGTTTCTGCGAATTCTGTTGCCATGTGTGGGCATTTATTTCTCGTAGCTTTTAATAGCACGCTTCTTGATTTTGTTAGCTTGCACCTAATAATGTTTCTATGTTACCTGAATGACGAGCTGAGCAGATTAGCTCTTCACTTCGGGGCATGGTCTTTCGGCGCACGTTAGCAGGATAACGAACTCACTGTTGTTACTTTCATCAGTCCAAGTCGTGTGGTCTCTGAACAAAATCAACACTTTTGCACTGAAAGAACAACAGTTTCACATATAGCACTAATGGCTAGTAAACCTTGAAATTAAAGATATCCTATCCTATGTTTTTCTACTTTAGTTCCAGTATGGAAATTTTAAATTTAGAAATGCTGTTTTGCTGTTTCTGGTCGGAGGGTTTGGTTGGACTTTGGAGTCGTACATGCATCTATTTCTTGGCTGCTGGGACAGAAGTTTGTAATTGTCTATGAAAATAACCTTAACGACTAGGTCTATGGGCAGTAATGAACCTTGTAACGGAACAAACTTATTCCTTTTTCTCCATCACTTCTGATATATATTAATTTGAGTCTGTTTCTTTCTTCTTCTTGTTCTTAGTTGTGTGTGTTTCTACTGCTGACATAACCAACTATTTCATTCGAGAACTTGAACACTAGGATGCTTGTATTTTTGGTCCGCCAACCCTAAGATGCGTTCAAACAAAATAAATAAACAAATAAACTAAGACGCGTGAGGAAACAAAGAATAAGCACAGATCTGTAACAAATAACTTCCCTGGGATTAGAAGATTGTTATTGCATGGTCATAGATGCGCAGGGTGGAAAGGGCTAGTCCAAAATTGAATTTTACGGCCTTTCATCCTTCAGAAGAATGCAAAGATCAGTTCTTGTTTCAAGGAGACATTGGTGGTTGGAGTGGGCATAAGTTGGTTCTGTGGTATCAGATATACATTTTTTTATAGTTAAGAAAAAATTATTCTCTATTTAATATCAGAATTAATCTGGAATACATTTACAGCATGTCCCTATAAATGATTTCCCTTGTATACATACATACTTGGCTGTTTACATTTTTAAATTTCATTTCTGTTAGTTCACACATTGTCCTTTTTTATTTTCATTTTTTTCTTGTGCATGCTCGTTTTTGCTTTTGTAAAATTGAATCTTTGTATTGGATTTGGTGGCAACTGGGTAATAGTGTTCTCCTTGTTTGTTTGTCTTTGCGATAAGGTGCTTCTTCTGAACAGATATTTCTTTCGGACTAATTAGCAAACTTAATGCAAAGTTATGTTGTTTATCGTCTGTCTGACTATTTCTCTTTCAGAAACTCCAGCTTTAAGATGCATTAGTACATCTCTTGTGTTAGTAGACATCCTTTAATTTTTTATTAAAAAAATTATACAAGAAACTACACTCTATGATTGCATTATCAGAAATTATGTCTAGTGATTTTATGTTTCTAGTAAACATTCTTACTAGGTGATAGAAGATGTAAATAATGAGCTGTTGTTAGTGTAAGCTTTCTTTCCTGAATGACCCTGATTACAACCAAATAAATTGTGGAATTTTGTGATAAGCAGCAATGTCTTTTATAAGTTATTCATTTCAAGAGTTTCAAGTTTGAACATTGCTGGAGTTTTGGTGCAATCCTAGGGGCAATGGGAAATTACCCTTGAGGAAGTTCTAATGCCTTGGTTTGTGATGCCAGCCAGCCATTAAAATTATTTGAAAATACTTTTTTTCCTTGGCACAGGAAAAGGTCTCCTTGGAAGTTGTTATGGGCACAGTATATATATTTATAAGAAAACATGCAGAGAATGAAAGCTTTCTTTTGTATTTCGCCTCCCCCTCATTAGCAAGAGGAATACACTTCTGAGAGAATCTCTCTACTCACACATGCTTTCATTGCACATTCAAGTACTGAAATCTCTTCTTTCAAAAGGATTGTTGGTTGTGTTTCCTCTGCAATCTTTTGTTACTTTGTTTGTTTTCTTTTATGGATCTGTTGCTTTGTTGGCTGTTTAAAACCGTAAAATAATTTATAAGGTTATTAGAATATAGATTTAGTACAGATGCATTTTTCCACCAATACTGTTGTTTTAGTGCTGCATATTTATAAGGTCAAGACCATGGGACTTAAATTATGGTACTATAAAAGTTTTATATTATAAGAATCTCTTTTGGTGAAAAGCTGCATAATCCTCTGTTGCTTCTGGGTCCTTAATTATAACTTTTGGAACTGAGGTGTGAATAACAGCCTTAACTAGGCGGTGTGCAATGTTATATTGGATTATCAAATCATGTCAAAACTCAAAAGAGAACATGTCATGGTAAGCTGGCTTGCTACATTCTGCCCACTGTATTTTTCTAATTCCTAAAATACACATCCTCTCTTTAGCAGAGTCTCTTTGTTAACTTATATGCAGGATTCTTTTTTGCATAGGTCCACTTAGTTTTATGTTAGATCTTGTAACATCTGCTTTGTGATAGCTGTAATCTTGCTTCGTAGACTTCTTTCTTCATTTATTTTATCAATACTTCCAGGTGTTTGCTTATCATACCCTCTTCTATTTAGTAATGATGTTATATGCTAGTTCTAATCGGTTACTTCCAGGTCTTTTGTCGTACCTAGATCTCTACAAGTCTGGTCACGATAATCCACCTTAAAACTTGTGTTTGTTTTTGGGTTGCATAATTGGGGGTAAATTTGTGGGGGCTAGCTTAAATTAAAGTTGAACTACTCCATTGTTGTCATTTATATATATATGGGTGATGAAATGACCATGGGGGGGGGTTAATATCTCATGTTTTTGGTCATTTCCATTGCGTGGCCCCTATTCAATGTTACATTGTAAGGGGGAAAAGGGCGTAAATTGTGTTATATTTTGTATAAATATGGGTAAATGGGTGCTTATAGTCTGGCTATTGTAAAAGACAAATTATCAATTTAAAGAGGAAGATGTGTCTGGGTAACATAAGACAATAGTGATAGGTAGGCATCATGTTCAATGTCATAACTTGAACCAGTGGCTTTCATCATACCGTCTCTCTTTTTGTGCCTAAAAACTGTAATAATGTAGCCCATACCACTTCCAAAATTTATTGATTAAAAGAAAATACTACTTCCAAAATCGCCGTGACTGTACAAAGATCTGTTACTGCTGTACCACATCCTACTCCTTTTTGTTGCTAATATTTTCAGGAAAGACCTTATTTGAATGAATAAAAATTCTGAGTCTTTGCCATATAAAAAAGAAAAAAAGGAAATACTTTGTCCTTTCTCAATTTCTATCAGTACGTGGCATCATAACTCTTTCTAGGCTGGTTAATGGCTTTGCACCTAGATTTTGTTCTCAACTGTGAGCTTGTGGTCGCTCCATTTGTCTTTCTAATCTGAAATAGGGACTTATCACTCAGGCACACAAACCCCCATTGAGTTTCTTATTAACCTGCAGTTAGCACCTCTGGGCACATTTTTCTTTTGTATTATCTCTGGTGCATTCAAAATGACTGTAAGTCTGTTCCTTGGTTTCTCTCAATCCTCTGCTTTACCACATGCACATAGTGGCTCCTTTCCCCGGTTCTTTTTATAGGCTATAGAGTTGGGGGCTGGTTGGTATTAGATTAAGGGGCTGAACTGTTGGATGATATGTTCCATCTCTCTCTCTCTCTCTCTCTCTCTCTCTGTCTCTCTCTCTCTCTCAGTAAATAATCTATTAGGGATTTTCTGTGTTTTTTCTAATAGTTTAAGATTTAAGAAGTTGGATTAACCATCATACACTGTAATATTTTCTTAATTATTTTATCTACTAAGAGACATAGCAACTAATGATTCAGTTCAGCGGTTATCAGACAGTACCTTAATTTGTTATTGGCATTGTGTTTTTGTTTGATTTCTGCCATGCTGGTTTCTACTTGAAGTAGGAAAACAAGTCCATTCATAGAAATAATAGGGAAACAAGATAAAGTGTTATACCTCTTTCATACAAGAAATTATCGCCCAAGTAATGCCTGGTTAGGTGCCGGGTTATGGCAAGGTGCTGTTCTATCACCTTACTTGACTACTATAAATAGATGTAATTGGTTGAGTATGAATTTTGCTGTGTGAAGCCGATCAAGGAAAAACAATAGAATTAGCTGTGTGCTGATGATCAAGGGAAAACAATAGTATTAGCTGTGTGTAGATGATCATGGGAAAACAATAGTATTAGCTGTGTGCATCACATAACCCTGGTTATTTATCAGTTGGTGTTCTAGAATGACATTGATGGTTAAAATTTTAAGTGATTATATGATGCTTTGTTTTTTTTTTATTTGGTTTTGAGAAATAATCGTCAAACTAGATTGGTTTGATTTGTTTTTGGAACTTGCAACAAGAGAATGAATTCAACTTGGGAAATGCATCTTTGAATGGACCTATTTTGAATTTTTTTGATTGTTATAGTAGCCAATCGGAAGACTTGTAAACTATATGGAACATTCTTTTTTTTTCTTTAATTATTTATTATGAAGAAAGAAGAATGTGATTTTATTAATTAGAATCATGGGGAATTAAGATCCATAGATACATGGCCCAATTGGCAACTACAACAAGGATCCTGTCGCCCCAATAGGTATAAGCAAGCATTTTTCTTGGGTTAGTTTAAAAGATGTGGTTTGATATTGTTAAAGTACTGGATACATATATAACTACTATAATTTATTATAGAAACTTAAAGTTGGGAGTTCATGGGATAGAATAGGAGTTAATGCCTTGGATATAAAGATCTAATTAGGGGTAAATGAATCTGGTTAAGGCTGCATTTGGCATTCCTTATTTCAAGGACTTGTCTTCTTTTTGCAATTAAAACTCAGTGTTCAAAAGGACATTTTAACTGTGAATTGGAGATAAGTCCTTAGAGTAAGGAATTTCAAATGCACCCTAATTAGTGCTTTAAATTACTTTTTTCTACCCTCGCTAATAGGGAGGGACTAAATTCCTAAAACCGGGATATCAATCTTTTGTAACCTAAAGAATTATCGTTCATATTCATGTTGTAATTTTCTTCTAGGAATCATGCAAGCAAAACAGAAGGCTTGACTACCGTACTCTATGGATTGTGAGGGATGTGGATGGTGGCTGTGTGACGTTTCTGGGTGTAGTATTTCGTTGTCCAGGACCTCCAGGTTAGTAGTCATCATCACAAATGAATTCCGTTCTGCTGGCTCTCGATACATTGCTAGCCAAGTTCATCCAACAACACATTGGGACATCTCATGCACTTTATTATTGCCAATATGCCCAAAGTGTGACTGGGTAATCGGGGCCGGCAATGTGTTGTGTTGTGATCAGCGGATCCGGACTTAATTGTCATTTAAAGCTAGTATGGAGAGGGTAATGTATGGATCTGGATATTGTTATTAGATATGTTTTCTTGGGAGACAGCAAGAGAAGTTAAATACTTAAATTTATGAAGTTTATCCTCACTATTTTCCTAATCCTACCCATCCAGGCATCCACTACTCCCCGTCCTTTTTTCCAATATTGCTTCTTTTATGGAAGCTGGATCATTGTAAGATATTTGGTTTTATGACCAATCTATACTATTTTTTTCACGTTTCTTGAGTTTTCGAAGCTTCTTATCGAAGCTTAAAAATATGTTAGTTGCACTGTTCTAAAGAATGTCAATCCACTCGTATTGGGTGGGAAGCCATTCCTCGTTTTGAGAATTGGCTGTGTCCTCCGTGCTCGTTCGCTAGCCCAGTTGATAAGAGGAAACCCTTCCTTTTTCACAGTTTGGAGTTGCGCCTCAAAACGAGGTCTAGCTCTTTTTAAGGGGGGGTTATTTATATTTTCTTCCTTCAAAGTTCTCAGTCTTCCAACTTGATTGTTTGTTCTGGAGGCCCTAGTATATAGAGGAACTGATGGACTAGGGTTTACTTTACAATTGTAATTAGATCATTTTGATTGTTTACTTGATTCTAGAAGTCACAGTTTGGATTGTTTGTTCTGGAGGCCCTAGTCTTCCAATTGTAATTAGATCATTTTTCTGCGTACTCGAATAAACATAGGCTGGGTTGCTGATTCGCCGACTTGTCAAATAAACATCGACTGTAGATTGACGGAATGATCTTCATTTAAGTTTCCGACGTTTTTTGTCATAGAATTGCTAGGATAAGACTTTTAGTCGGCGACTTCTAGAATCGACAACCGAATAATTGGTCTTCTGTGTCTCTATGGTTGGTCAATGGCCGTATAGGGCGTGATTATTAAATGGCTAGAGTCTTTTGTCTTTCCTTACAAACACGTCCAAGTCGTTGGGTCGCTCCTGGTCCCAGGAGTACAACTCGTATTTGACTCCCGGGGTTTCCGCTGCCACAAGTCTTTTTATGTATAACTTGCACTGCTACAGCCTAAGGACTGTGTCCGTTGATTGGCTGTTGATGACATTTATGTTTTCATCGGGGGCTTTATGTCCATTGGTTCTCCTCTTACGCGATATATTTGCCGAAATCGCGAACCAGGTGACTGATATTTCTTGCTTCTTCTGTACCTGGTTGATTTATTGCCCATTGGTTTTCTCCTAATGAACCCTAAATGCTCCGTGAGGTGATTAATATCCACCGTTGATTGGAGCATTCCCACCTTGGTTTGCACCCTCAAACCACCTTTTCATGTTTAGTTCTTTTTGGTGGATTTTCATGTCCAATTCAGTTTCTCGTTCAAGAGTGTTACGCAGAAAAGATGCAAAGCAAGCGTTGGTTTCTTGTTTCTTTTCTGCCGTTTATTTCTAATTGCTGGTTGTTGTCATTTACATTGTTCTGAGGCAACTTAAATATCTTTTCCGATAAATCATTTGATTTTTTGTATCGGGAATCCCTGCCAAAGGATTTCCATTAATGCAATGTATCTGGTTCAACTCGGAGATAATTTCTAGTTGCAGGTACTTGTAATCTGCTTTGCATGCTTTCAGTAACTTTTTCCTAAAGACAAGGTGCGCTTCATTCATTTACACCAAAAATCACAGTTGCAGTTGTTTAAGTGCCTGTAACACTCCTTCAAACTGCCGGTACACTATCTGAAAATTTATCTCGAACTGCCAATCTGCATTCTGCGCTGATTTTTAGCTTAACTTAATTTCCAATGATTATAACACCAAGCATTTTGGGGGTTTTCAAATGCGGGAATCAAAGTATTTATAACAATATTTATAGAGAAGAGGGAAAGTAATCTGCTAGTGATGTCGATTCTCTTATTGCATAAATTATGCAATGACAATTGACTTTGTATCATTTATGTGAACTCTTGATTTCCAGGAATCAGTTTCATTTGCCCTGGATTATATGAACCCCCTAAAACTTAATACATGCGTGTATACAGTCAATTTGGCGATTCCCTTTTGTGGTTGAAAATGATTAAACATGTGTTTTATTCTTGTGTTGCTTTGAAGGATTTCTTGCATGTACAAATTATGCTTTTGTAATACATTGTTGTTCATTTTGCTTTCCTTTATTTGGTCTTGTGGATGGATAGAAATCATGCACTTTCTATCTGATGGCTGTATGTTTTGAAATTCCAATTTGCATTGGCTGGTTCAATAGTTTATAATGAGTTTATGGTCAGACGACGCTGCTGGATCATCGGACGATGAATTTAGTGGAGGAGAAATCGAGGTCCCAGAGGTTCATACTGGAGCTGAAGAACGAGAGCTGAAGGACAAGCTCTTGCGTAAATATAGTGGGTATATTAGTAGCCTGAAGCAGGAATTTTCAAAGAAAAAGAAGAAGGGTAAATTACCGAAAGATGCGAGGCAGAAACTACTTGACTGGTGGAACATTCACTACAAATGGCCATATCCAACGGTAATGCTTCAAGCTTAGCTTTGTAAAGTATCTCCTAGTATGTGTTATTTCTTTCTGTGTTTTTTTTTTTTTTTTGGAAGTATTTTTCATTTATCAACGTTGTCAATTTCTGTGGCGACCTATTTCATTATGTTTATGACCAACTTAGACTTTTATATGTTCATCTACAAGTTTTATGTATTTTGTGTTGGAGAGTGAAAACCTGTTCGTGGACTTCACCTAACAGCCTAAGCTTTTAGGTTGAATGGTTCCATGAAATGGTATGAGAGTTTGTTTAACTAAGTGGTTTAGTGTTTGATCCTGATTGCCCCCATTATAATTAATTAAATTTCAGAACAAGGTATAGATGGGCCTGTGCTTTTCCACGCTTCAAGCCCATTGAGATTTCGCGTGAGGGGCATTTTAAGAGAATAAAAACCTGTTCAGAGACCTCACCTAACAGGTTAAGCTTCTAGGTTGAATGGTTAATTGAGATTTTGTTCCTCCATAACACGTGTTTGGTGTTGTCCACTTTAAAGTGAATTGCGTGGACATTACAATGCCTGGAGTTCTATGTCCTTAAATATACATTTGCTCTTCTTCCAGGAAGCTGATAAGATTGCACTAGCTGAATCAACGGGCCTGGATCAGAAACAAATAAACAATTGGTTCATAAACCAAAGGAAACGTCATTGGAAGCCATCTGAGAATATGCAGTTCGCTGTTATGGAGAATCTTTCTGGACCCTTCTTCATGGGTGATTGAGATGGGCGGCTCTTACCCTAACTGAACATGTACATTCTTGAATGTAACTTTTCGCTGATACTAAATGTAACGCCCATTGTTATGTTGTTTCATCTATTTCTTTTTTGCCTTCGTTTGTTTGTCTGCTTGGAGACTTCTACGCACGTTTACTCTAATTCTTAAAAAAAGGTTTACTGATTTACTCTAGTGTCAGAGATAAAACGTTTTCTAAATGTTAAAATTTTATGCAAATTTTTGTAGTCTGTGCATATCAAATTCCATCTGTATTATGTGATTTAAGCTCCCATAATTTATCCGGCTCTTCTGTTCTTTTGTTTGGCTATTTTTTAGTCAGAATACGGAAACCATGGAAATATAATCCGAGTACATTGATTCTATATTTTGTTGTCATCTTCGATGTTTTATTTCAGGGGGTTGAGGCTTTCTATTTCAAACTTTTTGTTTTCATTGTCGGTTGGCTATTTTGCTCTTGGTAATTTTCCTTTGCTTTTCTGGTTTGTTTATTCATATCTAGAATCATTCTTTCTCCCATCAAGGTTCAAAATATCGATCTGTATCACCCATTGTTCCAGGACTCCTCCGATATGCCCCTATAGTGGGTGTGTCTGCGGTTTGACCGGTTTGGGGGTGGAGGCGGCCTAAACCAGCTTCCCTGAACCGATTTCAGAAAAAATAAATAAATAAAAACTAAAAAAACGTATCAATTCGCCCCAGGCCTATCCATATTTTGAAGCTTGCTCCCAATTGCTCTTACGTCGGGCTACTACTGGTTGTATAGGCCCTTGAAGCAAGAAACAAAAGACCCGGCTCTGGGATCATGTGTGATTCGTCCTACATGTTGTCCATGTCTTGTGTTCGTGCCTTCAGTTCTAATGTTCAGTCGTTCAATTTTTTGTGGTGGTGCTATATTTGGCCTATTCTCCCACCTCACATTCTCCACATCTGCCTTTCACCAACTCAAAACCGAACATTCACTCTTGTTGCACCTCTCGCGGAAATTTTCTTTGAATTGTTCAGATATTTGGTGTGTTGCGATATGAGCACCTTTGGCGCTGGTGCAAAAACCATTTGTTTTCTGTGTCCAACCCTACGTAGATCTCTGATTGAATGCAACACAAAAATTGATCCGATGCTGGAGTTTCTGGAATAACGGAGCTTCTTTTCCAATCATTCATAGCATATCCCTATAAATAAGAACATGCAAGTACTGGAGTTTCTAGATTAACTGAGCTCCTATCCCAATCATTCATAGCATCTCCTCATAAAGAAAAACTTACAAGTACAGATATGTTATCATGAATTGAAAAGACTGATAACAGTGTAAGAACGGTTCTGTGTGTACTAAATCCGCTCTCACTGGTAGGTTCTTTTATGTAATTTGGCCCATCTAGTGCTCTTGCTCAAAGTACTACTTGAGAGGGGTGGGTTTCTGTTTGTAATAGCTCGGTTTGACATTGGGGCCTATCCATTGGTTTTGTCCAAATTGTACACGTGGCCAGTTGAGGTTCACTCTGACTAATGGTCCCTATTCAGCCCCATCTCTTTCCGTACGGCGAAGGTGGTGAGGTATACATGGGAAGGTAAGCGGGACCGTCTTGCACTACTCCCTTCCCAAATACTTAATTTATATATTAAAGTTTTCAGTAATTATTTATTCTTTTTTTATAAATATGCTTTCAATAATTATTTATAAATGCATTTTTATTTTTGTTATTTAATAGAAAATTATCAATAATTATTGGAGATTAAACAATTATTATTTAACTTTTGAAATTTAATTTATTGTACTTATTGTATTTTTGTTATAAATTTATTTTTAGTAATTATATATTTTTTATAATTTATGGATTAAACTATTATTTAAGATTACAATATTTATTGACTAATTTAGGATATTTTCAGTATTTATTATATTTTTTGTAATTATTGTACTTTTTATTATATATCTATTACATTTTCATTATAAACTTATTTTCAATGATTGTGTACGTTTGTTATAAATTTTCAATAATTATTGAAGATTAAACTATTGTTATTTATTAGAGATTAGACTATAAATTTAGTTGAAATTGGTCAAGTCCGCAGTTTGACATTCGAAACCGATTGACCATTAGCGAAAATCCACCAACTTGGGTTGTATTGATTTGGGTCTATTTTTGGTTTAGTTTGTTTTTTTTTAATTTAAACTTAAAAATTAACTTTAAATTTCATAAATTATAATGATATTATTAAAAAATAAATTACAAAAATTAAATCTATGATATAAAATATTTTAGACTAACAAATATGGGAATTTTCCCTTTTCCATATTAAAATATTAAATTAAAAATATGAAATATTAATATATATTTATTCAACCAAAGTCGATATGAAATACTAGAAAACCGACCAACTCGGGTTGAGTTTGATCGGATTGTTTGTTAAAAAGTTAAAATATAAAACAATTATATACTTTTATGTATTTCTATTGTTTAATTTTCGCTTAGCAAAGCAAGGGTCCTCGTCACCATGCCTCTCCTTGCTCCATTATCCCAACCCTGCATTCTCTTTGACTATATCTCCTCTCCCCTTCCCAATACTCCCATTAAGCCATGTCACCCAACTACCTAAAAATATTCCTATAATCCTTCTCTTAAGCTTTCTCATTTAAACCAATTGGAAATTATCATTGTTGCCCCACTCCCTAATCAATTCCTAAAATGCATCCCCCCCAATCTATGTCCACTCTCCCTCATTTTAAATATTCATATTAATTAATAAATAGTTAAGCGTGGTTAATATTTAATTCCACCCATATTCAATGAGTATTGAATAATATTATTACCAAAAGTTAATACATACAATTATTAAATTAAGAAAAATTAAATATTTTTATTAGTACGGTTAGTAAAATACCAAAAATTAATAAATTTTGTTATCAATTAATTCATTAACAACATTTTATAGAAATTGAAAACTCTTTAACTAATTTCTATAAATTTGAGAATTATTTTTAATAATTATCAAAAAGTATAAAATTTTGGTTATTGTTATTATTATGATTAATAACCAAATACAAATGGGGGAACAAAATATTATAATGTTAGAAAATGAAATTATTAATTAAATTATATTGAAAATAAAAGATAAATTAGTGTAATTTTGTTAGTAAACTACCAAATAAAAATATATATTTAATAACAATTTAAAAAATCAATAAATCCCCATAATTACACGAATGTAATAATTTCTTCAAAAATTTTCATAAAACTACATTTTTGTATAGTAAAATTTTTGAAAAAGGAAATTATTTGTTAGTTTATATTAGAAATTATAAGATAAATTGGTATAATTATGTAAGCAACCCATTTAAAAATAAAATAAATTATTTAATAAAAATTTAAAAAATTTTGAATAAATTTGCAAAATTACACAAGTATAACAAATTTTCACAAAATTATATTTTTAATATTAAAGATAATTTAGTGTACTCAATATATCCTTTTGATCATTTCTATCATCAAATTGAATATTGGGTTGACGGGGATAGTGTTTTCAAAACTGGATCAAACCACATGGTTAGACCGGAAAAATTGGGAATCAGACACTGTTTCTCCTCAAAATTGCTTTGTCCAAAAACCGTTTATTTGGTTAATGAACTGCTGAACTGGGCGGTCGAACTGTCAACCCGGATAAATGTTTTTGGCCTATTTTGTTTTTCTAATTTTTTATTTTTTTTGTCAAAGCGGGTCAACCAAAACGGTTCCCTATCCGATCCAATTTAAAAAACCTTGGACGGGGAGTGGGTGCCTTGCCTTGAACTTGGCTTGGTGTGCCGCATGGCTTGGCCTAAGGCCCGACCCACGGCACAACACAAGACCGTGCGGGCTCAAGTAGTGGACCATGCCAAACCGACCCCCCAAATTATCCTAGAGGAGGGAGGCACAGCCCGGGATGCCTCATGCCGACCCAGCATGACCCAATTTACACCTCTACTTGAACCCATCCAATATTGGGGACGGGGCAGGAAAATTCGAGGATTTTCTATCCTTGATGAGGAGTGAGGTGCTTTCCCCTTGAACTCACCCGACATTGAAGAGTGGTTACCTTGCCCTGAACCCGTGTAACACTAGCGACGGGGCGGGGATGGGGTAGAGTGTCTTCAATTTGGGGCAGGGAAAGGGATGGGGTGCCCTACCTTGACCCCACCCTATTGTCATTCATATATAATTGTTAATTATTAATGGAATTAATAAAAATGTTAGTTTTTATAATTATTTTTTATTTATTTAAAGTTAATCAAAATTTTATTTTAGAATAATAAAAATTAGTACAAATTATTAATAAAACTAAATTTTTTGTTCATATTCAATTAACAATAATTATTTTTTATAAATCATTAAATGAAAAATAAAATTATTAAATCTTTCAGATTTTTCGGTGCATCGCACAGGTCCCTACTAGTATATATAGCAAGACAATACACATCACCATGCCTCTCCTTGCTCTATTAATCCCACCCTACATTCTCCTTGACTCTCTCGTCTCTCCTTCCCACCATTCACATATTGCCAATTCAGCACCCTTTCTCTCAATTTCTTAATTAATTCAATATATTATCTATAATATCTCCCCTTTCTCTCCCCACAATTATTCACGTCTCACAATCTCTTTACCCACATAACTAATCTCCTTATTTAGCTCATCTCTCTCTCTCTCTCTCTCCATGTATGCACTCTCCTTAATTAGCTTAATTCTCTCTCATGATGCCATGTCACCACCCTTTTAATATTGGTAATCAATTACATTCCATATTTGGATACTTTATCTCATTAGTGAGATATGCATCTCATAGACTAGAACCAATTACTATACCTTACAGAATTGGATAAAGTATTTTGGGAAGATTTTGAACAGTCTTCCATTTTCATATATTCCTCTTCCATTGACAAGAACAATATGAACTTCATTAAAATCTTGAGTCAAAACCTTTCAGACCTCATTCTTGGTTGTATAACACCATTGATTTATATAATTAACACTAATTAATGTAATTAGCTTTATTTACATAATTAACAATAAAATGGTTAATTAAGTTTCCATAATAATTACTTAATTTACACAAATTAATTTACTGAATTTTTAACACTTTAAACGTTTACTTTATTAGGTTGCTTAATAAAACTTAGTTAGATTATTTAATTAAC